AAAATAAAAATGAGAAAACACTTAAGCAAGACACAAGGACAGACTTCCAGTTCACCAATGGCAAACAGTAGGGCAAATGAGGATGAAAAAGCCAATAGTGAACCACCAGGACCCCCTGAACTCAGAGCAAAGGAAGTAACAAAACAGATCAATCAGGCTCTAGAATAATTCAAAACAGAAATAATTTCCCAGATAACCATAGAGATAGTGAGCAAAATGGAAGCCATGATTCGAGACTCTAGAGCAGAAACTGACAAAAAAATAGATGAGCTCAGGACCATGATAGAAGCCATGAAGGCCCAGCATAAGAAAGAATTGGAAAAAATAAATGCCCAACATAGGAAAGAAATGGAATCCATAAAACAGATTCAAACAGATATCCAGGAGATTAAATACTCCATAGAAAGTGTACACAACAGAATAAAAGAATGCGAAGATAGACTCTCAGATATAGAAGGTAAGATTGCAGTCAGTGACGGTGAAAAGAGAGGTCTCTTAAAAACAGTAGGGGATCATGAGAAATTGATCCAACAAGTCCTAGATGATGCAAAGAAGAATAACATAAGACTGATAGGAATCCATGAAGTAGCAGGAGAAAATACAAATGACTTAAAAAAGCTATCCACAGAATATCCACAGAAATCTTCCCAAACAGAGGAGGAGAATTTGACATTCAGATAAATGAGGCATATAGGACCCCAACTAGCCACAATGAAAAAAAAAATCTACACCTAGACATATAATAATCAAGATCCCAGAAACCCAACAGAAGAACAAAATACTACAAGCAGTAAGAGAAAAGAAACAAATCACATGCAAAGGAAAGCCCATCAGAATCAAAGCAGACTTTTCAACACAAACCCTTGGGGCAAGGAGAGCCTGGAGTGAGATATTTCAAGTACTAAAAGAGAACAACCTCCAACCTAGACTGATGTATCCTGCAAAACTCTCTTTCAAAATGGATGGGCAAATAAGATACTTTCACAACAAAGAACACCTGAGAAACTACATGAATACCAAACCAGCACTACAAGCAATTCTAAACAAGATCCTAGAAAAAGATAATAAAGGCAACAACACCATGAGGCCCAACAGAGCAAATCAACTAGGCAAGGCAAGAAACTAAAAGGAGAAGGTGAAAAAGTAAAACAACAAAAGGCCAATAACATGACAATAATAAGTAAGTTATAACCATCAGTTATAACCATCAATGTCAATGGACTCAACTCACCAATCAAGAGAAATAGACTGGCAAAATGGAATAAGAAGCAAAATCCAACAATATGTTGTATACAAGAAACACACCCAGTGCAAAAAGAATCCCATAGACTGAAAGTGAAAGGATGGAAAACAATTCTCCATGTGACAGGAGCCCAGAAAAAAGCAGGGGTAGCAATCTTATTTGCAGACAAAGCAAATTTCAAACCAAAACTGATTCGAGTATTATTGATGTAGGATGGTACTGTATCATACCTCTGTGAACGTAAAATATCTTGTACCTGCTTTATGATATGTAGTAGTGACCGTGCTTTATCAGAGCTATTTTTAAAGATATTACTCTAGAATGTTCTCTTTCCAGATGATGATTAAGATGCTAATAAAAAAAATGGTGCCAGGTACCACAACAGCAACAGAACTTTGCTGTTATCTGGATATTAATCTTTTCTTTGTTTTTTTGTTTTTCTTTTTTTAATGGAATGTGCTGAATGTCTATAATTTTGCTTCAGATGACTGCAGAACCTGGAGAAGCTGTTGCTGCTATTGATGCATAACATACTGCTATTATTGGTCTTCTCATATAAAT